GCTGTGGTGCACGCAGGCACTATGGCACACACTGGCGCTGTCTTGCACGCGGCCGCTGTGGTGTACAAAGGCGGCGTGGTGTACACAGTCGCTTTGGTGCACGCAGGCACTGGCGCGTGCACAGGCGCTGTGGCGCAGATCGCCACCTACATGTTGATCCTACGTGGCCTCGGTCATCCCTGGGCATTCCCAGACGCCGCTGGCGCGAAGCGTGACGTCATCGGCCCCCTCCCCCCCGCCCCCCCCCCCAGATAACAGCCGTCACCGGCCCGGAATACCAAAACAGACTCGTGGACACCCGACCCACGCCGATGCCGTTACCGGTCGCGGTTTCTCAGGCGAGCCCCCCGATTGGTTCCGTGGCTCTCTGCAACTTCGGACGGGGGAAGCGCTTGCGGCATGCCTGTTGGCTTTGCGTGACCGGCAGCGCGAGGATCTCGCGGACTGCGTCAAGAGTTGCCAAGAGGTTGCGAGGAAAGATTGGCACGTGTGGCTGATGGATCGGCTTGGTCAAGGGTCCCGGAACGCCCCCTCTTCGCGCCCCACTACCGCGCTCTCGAGGGGCAGCTGGTCCTGGATCCTCGACACCTTCTGGATGAGGAGGTTTCCAAGTTTTCGGGGTCATGTCGCGTCAGGCAGCCCCCCCCTGAAGCTCAGGTGCAAAGACTCTTGTCCTCTACCCTCGGTCTGGGCCCCCGACCTCCGCAGGCTCAGTCGCAAGCATCCCGCGAGGAGTGCTGCGTCCTACGATGGCTTCCACTTGAGGCACTGCGCCTTGCTCAGTAATGCGAGTTTGGAGCTGCTTTGTAGGACGCGCGCTCATGGAGAGGTCTGGGATCATGCCGACTCAACTCTGGCTGATACGGTGAGGGCACTGGATAAGGAACCATTGGATAAGGAATCCAGGGTCTGGAAGCTGGTGGAACACCAATCCTGGATCGGCCATGGATACCACCGCCGCCCTCATCATGTAAGGAATCCTCCAGGGGCGGAAGCCCCCTGGGCGCATCCCTTAACGAACGCCCCCGCCGTACGATTGCTCTTCTCTCGACGGAAATCAGGAGCCTCGATTCCTTAGACAATATGGGAAAATATGGGAAGTGGGGGAAAGACAGAAACCCAGAAAATATGGGAAAATATTGGGGAACAGTTTTATGTGTGTGTATGTATGTATGTGTCCTGGGGCCCCTTCAGAGAAGAAGAAAGGAGGAGGGGAAGGAGACGGGGGGGCCCGACCCATGGAGGCTGTTCCCTCTGCCCACCGCCTCCCGGGGCGGGCGCGCAGGCCATTGGCGGAGGGGAGGGGGGGGGGGGAGGGAGGGAGGGAGCAGGGAGGGGAGGGAGGAGGAGGAGGGAGGTAAGGGAGGGAGGGATGCAGGGGAGGGAGGGAGGGGGGGGGGAGGGGAGGAGGGAGGGAGGGAGGGGAGGGGGGGGGGCGGGGGTGCGAGGGGGGGAGGGAGGGAGGGGAGGGAGGGAGGGGGGGGGGGAGGGGGGGGAGGGGAGGAAGAGAGAGGGAGGTAGGGGGGGGGGAGGGAGATTTTCCAGGGACTTCTGTGCCGCGGGAAGACATCGCGGGACTCTCGGCTGCGCGTGGCGCCGAGGCGGAGCGGGGGCCAGAGGAGGCGCCTGCCCGGCCCCGATCCCCTGGGACATGTTGGAGGCATGACGAGCCGATCGAACTTGGAGCCTTGGATACGCGAGGACTCAAGCCGTATTTTCCCATGGGGGGCGCTGAGCGTGCGCCTCTTGGCCGCTCGCTCCCCGCGCTGCGTTTGCCTCGACGGTGTGTGTTCGAGCGCACTGCACGCCGCGCCTGAGATCATTGCTGGGCGCGGCATGGCCACCACTCTCGTGCGCGCGTGCCCCTGATTGGTTCGACTCAGTTTCAAGGTCAGCAGGCTTCAGAACAACCGACGAGGGAGACTAGGGAAGTTCCGCCGCTTCATGCACAGATCGGAGGCACCGGTTTGCTGGCCATAGGCAGCAGGAGCTGTGTGATCGATAGGCTCGTGGATATGGCGACCCTCCCTCCTGCGTGCCAGCAGAATCATGTTTGGGTGTTATAAGGTCTCTCGCATCTGCTATTGATTTCCACTTAGGAAGGACTTGGGGCCTCGCGAGAAGTTGGAGGTGTCTAGGGCACGGTGACTCGGCGCCCCCCTTTCAGGGCGGGGAGAGGTCGGTCAAAGAAAAGATGCGATAGGAAAGCCAAGCTGACTGTGAAGGTCTTGCGCCTGTGGGAGACCGGAGCTCATGTTGGTCACAAGGCAATGCGAACTGGCTGCTGTGGCCCGATGCCCGGCTTCGCGCATGGGGGATGAGGAAGTACTGAACTTGAGGCGCATGACCGCTTCTGTTATCAAGCCCTCGGCTGCCAGACGCTCTCTTCCGACGCTGTACTTGCTGGAGGCTGACCTGGCGTGGTATGGGAGAGTCGCTCCAGTCTTGAGGCTCTGCAGAGAAATGCATATATGTTGCCTGCTTCGGATCTACAGACCCTGTAGACAGAGTCTCTGGGGTCAGGCCTTACGCGGGCTCGTTGCTTCATGTTTTTTTGATTCGAGAGGGCTCGTTCATAGAGTCCGTCCGCGAAGTGGCTGCCCACAGGAATGTAAACGAAGAGGGCACCCTCACGTCGGAAAGGTTTTACTGACTGAGGGATTTCTGGGCTTTCCTCGCTGCCAAAGAAGGTGCGGGCTCTCACACACCACTTAGACAAGCGCGTTCCGCCACTCGCAAAGTCACTACTCGCAAATGGCCTGGATCCGCCACGGTATATTTACAATAAGTCACATCGATGCAGGCCTGTGTTTTTCTGACGTTTGCGAGTAGGCACTTTGCGAGTAGTGGAACGCGCTCGGTGACCACTGCCAACCCAGATGTGCTCAGTCGAATCAAGAGGTCCGCTCGTAGTTCTCGGGCTGTGGTGGAGCTAAGGTCCACGTTCTTCCCTTAACAGCCGCGATTGGGGACGTGTCGGAGGCCTCCTTCCGCCACCCTCAGAAGCAGGAGCGTGAAGATAAGTGTGTACATGTAGGTGGGGCCTGTCTCTCAATCGGGGGATCTTGAGCGAATAATTAAACAGACTCAAACAATACCCCCAAATGACCAACATATCTATATATATATATAAATATAAAATCTATAATCGTTCCCATGCGAGTCTGTGACTATTTTTGAATATCCCTCCAGTAGAGTGACAGGCCCGACTTAAGTGTACATGTGTGTACCCGACTGGCCCTGGACGGGGGAGTTTTGTGCCGGGCGTGTTCCAGGGGCAAGCGCAGAGTCGACCACCCTCTTCCTGGGCACTGCAGAGCCTGCCCACGTCTCAGCCCCCATCGCCTGGACTCGCGGGGTCATCCATGTGCTGCGGCCAATTGCTCAGACGGGTCCGTCCTTTGTATCTGTCTGCGCTGCCACCTCTGCAGCTCTGGCGCCAGGGCCAGGAAGGAAGCTCGGAGAAGAATGTTCTGGGCGCGTGGAGCTTGGGGCAGACAGGACAGCTTAGAAATACTTCATCCAGGGCCGACACCCGCAGAAGAAGAAGAAGAGGAGCAAATCCGTCCAGTGTCATTTCTTCTGTCTCCTCCTCCTCCTCCTCCGCCTCATCATCATCATCATCATCATCATCATCATCATCATCATCATCATCATCATCATCATCATCATCATCATCATCATCATCATCATCATCATCATCATCATCATCATCATCACCACCACCACACACCACATCATCATCATCATCATCATCATCATCATCATCATCATCATCATCATCATCATCATCATCATCATCATCATCATCATCATCATCATCATCATCATCATCATCATCATCATCATCATCATCATCATCCGCCTCCTCCTCCTCCTCCTCCTCCTCCCCCGCTTCCTCCTCCTCCTCCTCCTCCTCCTCCTCCTCCTCCTCCTCCTCCTCCTCTCCGTGGTCGGTACCTTTTTTTCTGTCCTGAAGGAGCCAGCTTGGAACGGCCTGGGGCCTCAGGCGCGCAGACGCCGACCCCAGGCCCCTTCAGCAGCTCGGCTGATGTTCGCCCCCACTTGTCCTCCGAGCCTCTCTCCTTGGGGGGGGGGGATTCGGACGAGGATGTCAGGCCCCTTCAGCTGCATCGCTGACACACTGAGGCGTGAGCGAGCGGCAGAGTTGGGCCTCACTGGCAGGCGCTCCAGTGCAAGTTCTAGCCGTGGGCTGTCAGACCCCAATTATGCATGATCCTGCCCGTGGCTTGCAGGTGGGCACAGCTCCCTGCCTTCCGTCGTATGGATCCCCTGTTCCTCCACATCTTCGGGGCAATCGGAACCAGTCGCAGCATGTTCGGGTTCTCGCGGCTCAGAGCAGAATTGCGACGGGTTCGGATAGGCAGGATGCCCGAGATTCAGACAGTTCTGACTAGGTGTTGGAACGATTGCCTTTGGTTTTCGGAGGCCTGGTTCGACCTGTCCGTGTTGTTTGTCCCGAGTTCCCCCCTTGTGGTGGCTGGGCTCCAGAGGTCCCCAGAAGAGGGGGTCAGCAGGCTGTTGCTGAAAACAGCAAATATTCGTCCTTCTCCTTCTCCTCCTCCTCCTCCTCCTCCTCCGCCTCCTCCTCCTCCTTCTCCTCCTCCTCCTCTCCGTGGTCGGTACCTTTTCTGTCCTGAAGCAGCCAGCTTGGAACGGCCTGGGGCCTCAGGCGCGCAGACGCCGACCCCAGGCCCCTTCAGCAGCTCGGCTGATGTTCGCCCCCACTTGTCCTCCTCCGCCTCCTCCTCCTCCTCCTCCTAGTCCTCCTCCTCCTCCTGCTCCTCCTCCTCGTCTTCCTCCTCCTCCTCCTCCTCCTCCTCCTCCTCCTCCTCCTCCTCCTCCTCCTCCTCCTCTTTCCCAAGCCCCCCTCCCCCAATTCTCCCTCCCCCCCTCGACCTTTCCGTCCTCGCCCCACGGCCCAAGATCACGCCCTCGCCTCCGCCCCCAGGCGTCCCTGGGCATCCCTGGCAGGGAACAGGTTGTCCACCGAGAGCATCCACTCCAGCAGGTAGCCGACCCACCACTGGTACGCGTCCTGCGCTCGGGGCGCACAACGGCCAGGCACACTCCCCTGGGGATCTGAGGCCTCAGACTCTCCTCCTCCTCCTCCTCCTCCTCCTCCTCCTCCTCCTCCTCCTCCTCCTCCACCTCGTCCTCCTCCTCCTCCTCCTCCTCCTTCCACTCCTCCTCCATTCCTATTCCTCATTGCTAACTTCTGCCTGTCGCACCCGAGGCTAAGTTTTTGAGGGCGGGCCGGGCGTTTCGCCTGGGACTTCCTCACCATATACGACCCTGAAGATTAAACACTGGCAACAGTTTCACACATGAAGGGCGGGCCGTTTTCAAAATGTGGCTCTCGCCTTAGCGCCGCGTGCATTCGTTTTAAAAAAGCTGCACGTTTTGAGGGCGAGTGGTTTTCAAAATGTGGCTCTCGCCTCAGCGCCGCGCACTAAATTTGCAAGAGCTTCACGGATTAAGGACAGATGGTTTTCAGCACGTGGTTCTCGCCTCAGCGCCGCGCACATTCGTTGAATAGAAACTGGCAAGAGTTTGACGGATTGAGGGCGAGTGGTTTTAAAAATGTGGCTCTCGCCTCAGCGCCGCGCAATCTTCTTTCAGACTTGCAAGAGCTTCACCGGCTGAGAGCGGCTCCTTTTCAAACTGTGGCTCTCGCCTTAGCGCCGCGCACATCCGTTTTTCTCATTTACAAGAGCTTCTTATGTATTCCATGATCAGCGTACCAGATATAGCGTTTTGGAAGGATTCCAGATTACGAGGGCGCAACAGTTACGTTGATTCGCTGTAATTCCCAGGAGCGGCGTTCTGGTACCATTCAGGGGTCAAGACGCAACAGTCAGGTTGACCCAAGGCGTTGGATTCGCATGCTTCAGGGTCGTCAAACGGTTGCCTTCCAACGAGGCAGTTCCCTCAGAGGAGAGGGCCCTTGTAGGGGCCTATGAGGAGGGAGCTTTGTGGGAGGGTTTGTTCCAACATCGTTGATGACTCTTGGGTTTACACTGGTCCTCTTCCTTCTCCTCCTCCTCATATTATTCCCCCGCCTCCTCCGCCTCCTCCTCTTTCTCTCCCTCCTCCTCCTCCTCCTCCTCCTCCTCCTCCTCCTCCTCCTCCTCCTCCTCCTCCTCCGGTTTTGAGTTGAGCGAACTTTGAGCGAGCTCGCAACGTCGTACCTCCTCCTCCTCCTCCTCCTCCTCATCGCCCTCGTCCCTCCTCCTCCTTCCTCCTCCTCATCCTCCTCCTCCTCCTCCTCCTCCTCCTCCTCCTCCTCCTCCCTCCCCTCCTCCTCCTCCTCCTCCTCCTCCTCCTCCTCCTCCTCCTCCATTTCCTCCTCCTCTTCCTCCTCCTCTTCCTCCTAGGCCTCTCGTGGGAGCACGCCCTTCTCCCCACGAAAGGGCGAGGAGAAGAAGAAGAGGCGATGCGATGCGATGCGATACGATGCGATGCGACCACCGTTGCGGACAGCGTCCGGGCCTAGAGCAGACCAGGTGGGTGAGACCATGGCCCCTAGGATCTGAGGTGTGTGGATTCATGCAATGCGAGACATGTAAAAAGTGAGGAGGAGAGGGGGAGGAGGAGAAAAAGAAAATCCTTGGTGTCGGTGTCGGCGCGGGTTGGGCGATACGTCTCAACATTCGCTGAGATGTTACGTCATTGGTCTGAGTCCCAGGTGCTGGTCGACGTGAGGTCGGTGAAGTGGTGCTCGAGCGCTGTCCATGCTTCGGTGTCTTGGGCTGTTTGCGTCCATGTGATGTCGTTCGGTTGTCCTTTCGAATGGGCTTGCGTGGGCGGTCGGTGGAGGTCTGGTCTGCGTTGACGTAAGTAAGTGGTGATTTCGTCGTCCCAACGCTTGTTTTGGCCACCGTGCTGCCTGTGTCCCCGCTGGCGCGGGTTGAGGACTGGGTGCCAGCGCAGCTCTCGCCAGATCCATCTCGTCCGGTCGTGGTTTGCGACTCGTGAAGCCATGCGCCATACTTTCCGTTTGTGCAGCGTCTCCCAGTTGTCAATGTGGTGGAGGTTCATGAGGTGCTCTGCGCGTCGTGTCGCTCGCTGGATGTAGTCGACCCATGGTTCCATTTCGTCTGCGGTGGTGCTGTCTTCGCCGTCTTCGCTGTGCTTGTCAGGCGTGTCAGGAGAAGAAGAAGAGCAATCGCGGAAAAACGCGGCCGAGGTGGATCTTCGGGGGGGGTCCAACCGGATGCTGAGGCATCGCGGCTGGTGCAACTAAAGGGGCAAACAACTGCACGAACATAAACTGTCGGAGGTCCGCGCGGAGCTCCAGAAGTCGATGTCTGTGCACTGCCCTCTTATTCGAGATCTGAGATCTCTGAGCCAGCTTCCGAGAAGCCCCCCCCCCTGAGGCCACTCCCTGCCTGGCTCACTCAGCCTCGCTAGGGGGCCACGTGCGAACCCCACCCCTACCCGCCACGAGTTCTAAGGGGGAGGGTGGGGCTCACTTCGTTTGGGAGCTACCGCGCGAAGTGAGCCCCACCCTCCCCCTCAGAAATCGTGGGGGATAGGGGTAGTGTTCGCGTGTGGCCCCCCAACTCAGCCTCGCGCCTCGCGCTCCGCGGTGCGGGAAAGCGGTCCTCGTCGCGCCCTCGCGCGGCCCCCTCCCCCGGGGAGACGGGCAGCTCTCCGGTCCGGACCGCGACGCGCGAGGCGCGGGGGATGTCTTCGCGCCTGCGCGGGCCGGCCCAGCCTCCTGCGCAGCACAGAGACGTGGCGGGGGCCCCAAACCAGTGTGATGACAGCTCCTCCTTTCCCTCCCCCTCCTCCTCCTCCTCCTCCTCCTCCTCCTCCTCCTCCTCATTCTCCGTCTCGCCTCCCCCATACCCTTGGACTGGCGCTGCGTCTGCTTGCCGCCTCCCTCCCCACCCTGGGGGTCTCCTCCGGGCTGCGCGCGAAGTACACGTAGACGCAGAACATCGCTGCGCAACCAACCCAGAAGAGGCTGGAGAGCTTGCTCTCTCCCAGCCCACCCCCACCTCCCCTTGCTGCCACAAATCACGACGAGACTTTTCGGGCAGTGTTCGGCCTCCTAGAAGCCTCAACGGGCCCCCGGACCGTCGAAAAATGAGCCGGGATGAAAAACGGGTCCCAGGGGAGCAGTCTAATCCTCTGGGGGTCCACGTTGTGAAAAACAACAACGTCAGAGATCCAGCCCCCCTCCCCTCCGAGCGACCTGACCGCGAACGCCGCGCCTTCGCGCGCATCGGCCAGGGGCGGTGCTGGCAATGGCCGACTCTGCTTCCTCGCCGCCCGACAGCTGAGTGCGAGGACTCTCCCTGGAACCTTGCGAAAAGGAGGGATCGGTGCACGTGGTCTCCTCCTCCTCCTCCTCCTCCTCCTCCTCCTCCTGCTCCTCTTCCTCTTCCTCCTCCTCCTCCTCCTCCTCCTCCTCCTCCTCCTCCTCCTCCTCCTCCTCCCCCTCCTCATGCCCTCCCTCCTCCTCCTCCCTCCTCCTCCTCCTCCTGCTCCTCCTCCTCCTCCTTTTCCTCATCCTCCCCTCCTCCTCCTCCTCCTCCTCCTCCTCCTCCTCCTCTATGCTCTCCTGGCGCCCCAAGGAGAGCCGAGGCCCTGGCCGCTCTCGACGGCTGGCGTGGCTGCGACGGGCAGCGGAGACGCGCTCCGCCCGCCCGCGGTTCTGACACCGCAGGCAGGCTGCTCTCCACAGAGCCTCCTCCTCCTCCTCCTCCTCCTCCTCCTCCTCCTCCTCCTTCTTCAGGACATGTTGTGGCACAACCCGCGGGCATGGGAAAGCTTCGTTACGTTGCATCCTCGGGAGACCTTGTCTGTCCTGTCGCGGCCCTATCCGCGTCGAATCAGTGTCGAATCCATGTCGGACTCGTCGGATCCGTGTCGAGTCCGCGTCGAATCCGCGTTAAGTCCACGCCAAATCCGCGCCGAGTCCGCATCGAGCTCACGTCGGGCACAAGAAAAGACCCAAGTGTGGGGGACAGGCGAGGTCCCCCGAAGATGCAACGTAACATGGGGAAAGCTTCGAGGGAGGTATCAGGATCTTGCATAGCTTCCCAAATGAGATCCCCACACTGCGGCCCTGACACGCTAATCCGAATCGCGTGGCCCAGACCCAAACCACCCCAACCCTGACACCGCCACCCGCACACCCTGACCCACACCCTGACACCCAGACCCTAAGCACGAACCCAAACCCTGACACCCTAACCCTGTCACCCTAACACTAAGACTACACAGCTAGGGAAAGCAGCCCTAACTCTAGCTGCATGGCCATAACACACTAAACAAAACATCATAACCCCAACGGCCGAACCAACCCTTAACGCCCGAATTCAAACGATAACGCCCTGACTCGAACACCTTGACCCTTACCGTATCACCCTCAGCCTAACATCCCAGTCCTCACACCCTAAGCCGAACACCCTAACTTTTTCCGATCACCCTAACATGAATACACAAACCCTAGCTTAACGCCCTCACCCTAGCGTGCTACTCTAAAGCGTGAATGTTAACCCTGTCACCCTAGCCCTAACCTTAACCAACTGGCCCTAGCGTCCGAGCCCTAACGGCCTAACCCCGAGGGTTAACCCTGACCCTAAGACTACAACCCTAAACAACAGTACATTGCATGACTACCCTATCCCTAACACCCTGACTACATCACACGAATACCACCCGCCCCCTAATCCCAGCACCCTGAACCTAAGCACGATCCCCGACCATACAACTGCAACACTAGAACCCTAACACGATAACCCTAAAAGCGGAGCCTTAACCATACCAGCGTGACTCGAACAGCCTAACCCACACCCTAACACCCTGACCCTAAGCCCTACCCCTTACCCTGGCATCCTCATTGCTTCACCCTAACACTTAGCTGAGCACAGCAGCGCGAATAGCATAACCCTAACACCCTAGCCCTAGCAGCCTGACCATAATACCATAACCCGAGCACCCTAACCAACCTCAACGCCCTAACCAAAGCCGTAACACCCGGACCACCGTACCCTGACCCTAAAAGCACCACCCTCGCCCCAACGCTCTAACCCTTACAGCAGAACTCAACACCCTAACCCTAACCCTGTCGTACTACACGAACCACAACCCTGACACGCTGCTGCCCTGCAACGCGAATGCTCACCCTATCACCCTAAACCCATGCTGACAATCCAACCATATCGCCCCAACCAGTAAGCTACCGCCATCCCACCCTGTTCCTCCTCATACACGTTTCTTCTCCTCCCTTCGTATCTTCGCTCTCCTAAGTGTATTATCACCGTCTCTTCTCAGCATTGCACGCATTGCCCCACCATCCCCATCAAACGCCATTGCATACCGATAACCCCAGCGCCCTCATCCTCATCTGCTCTCATCCTCCTCTTCCTCATCCTCAGCACCGTCCTTCCTCTTGCTTCTCCTCCCCATTCCCCCACACCCCCACCCTTCCTCAGCCCCTTCCTCAAACATTAGCTCCTCCTCCTCCTCCTCCTCCTCTCCTCCCTCCTCCTCCTCCTTCCTCCTCCTCCTCCTCCTCCTCCTCCTCCTATGTCCTCTCAACCTTCTCCTGCCCTTCCCGTCCTCATTCATGGTACTTCCCCTTCCTTCTCCTCCTCCCCCCTCCTCCCCCTCCTCCCCCTTCTCCTCCTCCTCCTCCTCCTCCTCCTCCTCCTCCTCCTCCCCCTCCTCCTCCTCAGTACCCCCTCCACCTCATCCAACTTGCCATCCGCCTCCATCAGCACCTCGTGTCCCTCGGTCTCCCATTGGCCCTGCTAATATCAGACTTGCACGTGTACATAGAAAGGGAGGTGCACGGTAAATAGTAAGGGTTAAAGACGGAAGGCGCGGTGGAGGGTCTAAAAGCAATGGTCCCCAGCAACATGATTCGGGGATTACTTGGTTTGGCGATTCGCGTGGTGCCCAAACCTTTTGAGCTCGCACAGGGGAGTTTCGTAGCTGGCAGTTGTCTGACCTTCTGGCCGCATGTTTGTCTGCCGTGGCTTTGCCACCGCAAGGAACGTCCTGTTCCCGAGAGCAATGGCGAAGAAGACGAGATGGGCGTCTACAGTATACATACACCTCTGCCCATGTGACGCAAAAGGGTTTGGTGACATGCATGTCACCAAACTGTGTGACATCACAGCGGCAATCGTAACTGATGGTGCGAACATGCCACCCCTAGGAATTCACATAAAACAGTGCGTAGGTGGTGGGCTTGGTGCCCCAGCGAGCACTGGACTCTCACAGGAAGGCCAGAGCCAATATAGCCGAAGGAAAAAACGACAAGGATGACAATGGGAAAAATGGGGGGGCAAGCGCAAACGAAGGGCTTGAAGGAAAAGCACAACAAACAACAAAAAAAACGCAAGAGCAGCAGCCAGCAAAAGCTACAGAAGGGGGAGGAGGAGGAGGAGGAGGAGGAGAAGGAGGAGGAGGAGAAGGAGGAGTATCCCCGCTCGCTGCGCAGAAGAGCAGTCGTCTCGGGGCGGACGCGCGGCGCGCGCGCGGCGGGCCGTAGGGAGAGACGGGCCGCCGCGATCGCACCGTGCGGCGCACTCAGGTGGCCGTGTCCAACACGGGCCCCTGGACGACCATCAGGAGGTCGTAGCAGCGCCGCAGGCCAGCCTTTGAAGAAGGAGGGAGGTAGAGGGTGGGGGCCGAGAAGCTGCAGACGACTGCGTAGCGGGCGCGAATGGGGATAGAGAGGTGCATCCCCGCTCGCTGCGCAGAAGAGCAGTCGTCTCGGGGCGGACGCGCGGCGCGCGCGCGGCGGGCCGTAGGGAGAGACGGGCCGCCGCGATCGCACCGTGCGGCGCACTCAGGTGGCCGTGTCCAACACGGGCCCCTGGACGACCATCAGGAGGTCGTAGCAGCCATACCCATGCTCAAAGCCCTTGCGAAGTGACAAGAGTTCGGCGGGCGGCTGCGAGCTGAATGGGCCACCCGGCAAGGCCAGCATTCAGGAAGGACGCGACAAGGTAGTCGCTAACAGACGCAAAGTACTCGACCAGAGACCGAGAGGCCTCAGGGAGGGCGGCAAGGACAGTAGAAGCGGCAGCGTCTTGCAGATATCCCTCGGCGGTGGACGCCTGGCGCCAGCGGCCCCGCCAGAAGACGCGTGGCAAATGCTCCGTAGCGGCATTGAAGTCTGTGGCGCCTGTGCCTTGAAGGCCAACGGGTGTGATGTCGAACCCCGCAGGCATCTTGGCGAGCGGCACGCCCAAGCCGACAAGTAGATGGTTCCACCGAGTACGGAAGCCGCTCTGACCAGAGGTCGTGGTCATGAGCGGATCGGTGGGGCCCACATGCCGAAACACAATATCCATAATTTTGACGGTCGCTCGATCCGAACAACGAGCGTATTGAATCGGATAAGACCGACAACTCTCAGGAACTGCAATCGACAAGAAGGCGTCGCCTTCCGGCTCAAGGCGGTCGCATGGCAGCGACAAGTCACAACGCTTCGCGTGGAGAATCTCGCCTGGACGCAGGGACATCGTGAAACCAGCCAGCACCAGGGCAGCCATCTCGGGCCACTCCCACAGCAGGCACAAGCTAACCATCGCGCGAAGGAGCGCTCGGGGAAGCGGCGGGCGGAGCCCGGGGAAGCTGCGGGCATGCCCGAAGAAGCGCGCTGGAGGCTCGGAATGCTTCCACAATTTAGCAACATCCCAGGCCTCAGTCAGCAAACCCCTACAGTGAGGGTGATTGGCCTGCACGCCCAGCACGGCGTGAACAAGGATGTACTGCGGGAGCCCCGCGTCGTGGAGCCAAACTCCGAACGTGGCCAAGAATCTGCCTGCTAAGATCCCGCTGCGGTAGAGCGTGTCAGGGACAATGCCCGTGTGCTCACCTAGCCACAGCTCGAATGCATCGAGCGAGCGTGTACGCCTGCTCTCATCAGCGGGGGTGAAACGAGAGCCCTGGGCGAACGAGATTCGCGCGAGAGGAGGCGCGGGGCTAAGGCCGCGACCG